CACATCTCTTAATTTTGGTTCTGCTTTCCAGGCTTATGGATCGACATGTCCATTCTGGAGGAACAGTACATTAGGCTCAAGTTATTGTCCAGTGTTAAATGATATTGAGTTACTATTTCTTCTAATGGACAGTTTTTTTGGTTTGGCTTGGTTCCAAGCACTTTTAAAATGTAAACATTTAAAAATTTTTATCAGTGGAACTTGAAATAGTCATTTCTATAATTCCACAGTTGCTAAGGTTTTAAAATTTTAGCACATTTTATTAAGAAAATTAAATTAGGGGTGCCTGGGTGGCTCAGTCGATTGGATGTCCTACTTCAGCTCCTGTCGTGATTTTCCAGTTCGTGGGTTTGAACCCTATGTCAGGCTCTGTGCTGACAGCTCAGAGACTGGAGCCTGCTTGGGAGTCTGTGTCTTCCTCTCTCGCAGCCCCTCCCCAACTCTCACTCTGTCTCTCTCTCTCTCTCTCTCAAAAATGAATGAACATTAAAAAAAGAAAAAGAAAAAATAAAGAAAACTGAATTAAGCCTAAATAGTTAGAACCTATTCAGTATCAATGCTCCTAGTTTAAATATTTAGAAATTCATTAGTTGCTTAATTCGTCACTAAGTACTTATGGGACAATGGCTGTCTGACCGGCATTGGCTGGGCTGTGTTCAGGAGATGCTAGTCCTTCTGGTGAGAACTAACACTCAACATCTCATCTGCTGACCAGATAAACCACGCACCATTGGCTTGCAGGCTTATAAATGGCTTGTGGAGATGATTTAAACCAATCACTAAATGTTTCTAAACAGGTAACATAGTGCATTATATACTTGCAAGTATTTTAAAAATTATTAAGCCCCCCCCCCCAATTGCTACTTTGGGCTTCTGTATTTTTACCATGTCCTTATCCAAAATACTGTTTCCCCTCTCTCCACACCATTGTTTGTCACTTCTTTTCATCGCTTAAAACATAATAATTTAAGGGGAGCCTGGGTGGCTGATTTGGCTAAGCAACTGGCTCTTCATTACCGCTCGTCATGATCTCACAGTTCATGGGATTGAGCCCCACATCAGGCTCTGTGTTGAGTGTAGGGCTGCTTGGCATTCTCTCTCTCTACTCCTCCCTGCTCACAATACATTTTCTCTCTCTCTCAAAATAAATAAATAAATAAATAAATAAATAAATAAATAAATAAATGTTAAAAACATAATAATTTAAAACTTATTTATAACAACTCAATCAACAGATGCATTCGTTTACCACCAACTCTAGCTATAGTGCTGATAGACTTGAGAGATACTTCGAATTCCCCTTCTACACACTCCAGGTCAAAAGCCATCCTGTGTTGTGTGTTTTGGGAGAGAAAAAGTTTAAGACGTGGTGTTTTGATTTTTAGGAATTTATAGAAAGATTTGAGGGATGTGAATAATATGTGTGAAATAACAAATAGTACATGTGTACCTAAATGTTGAATTTTGAACAATTCTGAGATTCTAGGAAGAGGAAAACTAACAGGGACTCCATCTGGGTAGAGGATGTTGGGTTACTAGGAGTGAGAAGGATGCAGATCAGGGAAGAGATAAAATGTGGTCTGGAATTTGAGAGATGGAGACCATGGTGGGAAGGAGATATTTTCTGGGCAAGAGAGGGAAGTGTATGCAAGAGAGCAGGGGAGAATGAAGGAGTAAGAAGTCTGTTCATAGGAATGAGCACCTAGGGGCAGCACACTAGTGGAGAATATGTATTGCGAGTTTATTGGAAAATTAAGTTGGATACTTTAAGGCCCAAGTATGAAAGACTCTGGAAACCAAGCAAATGATTTAGGTAAACACAGAGGGTGTGAGACAGATCAATGTTGATGGCTATGTTCAAAGAAGGTGTATCACGCAGTGGTAGTTCAATAAATACAACCAGAAAGATTGCATTTGGGAGCCATTCTCTTTTTTCATTTGGATCTGCTCAGAAATCCTGTGTATGTACACACACACCCTCCATGCAGGGAAAGAAAAAGAGCAAAGATATCATTAAATAAGAATCAGGTATTAAGAAGAATCCGTGGCAGCCTTTTTTTTTTTTTCATACAGAAAGATTTCTCTTTCTGCCTTATACATTTTTTATCCATAAGTCTTCAGATTCTGGTTGCTTAAAAAAATTTCCTACAGTAAAGACTTTGATAAAAATATAAAAGGCAGGACAGATGTTCATTTTCAGCAAAAAAAAAAAAAAAAAAAAAATGGGACCAATGACGTACCATTCTCAGAAAACCTTTTGCTCTTTTCTATGCAACCTATTTAGTATCAGAAAGGACATGGCTAATATATCAGAGGTCTTACTACTACATGATGATATCCTTTCTACATGCAGAGAAAATAACTTTGTAACCATATTCATACCAGAGACCTTAATCTCTTTGGGATTCTTTAAAAGACTGTGCTTCACACGTGACGAGGCATCTAGCATGCCATGAGCAACTCTAGAATGTCAAATGCCATTGATTAGATTTGTGCAGTCCAGATGTCAGTTACCACTCAACAAATTGAACATAATATTGTTGAAGCTCATGACAAAGAAGGAAGGACAAAAGGGATTAATTGTCAATTAGGATCTGAGGAAAACATTTGTTTATCGTTACTCACATTTTTAAAGGTTACTTAGCTACATTTTAAACGTCTGGAAACATTAAGCCACCCTTATTTCTTTTAAAAAATGATGACGCTAGGAAATTATGACTGTAAGGAATATAACTTTAATTTAATATCTTGACATGCGTGTATACTGTAGTAATAAAATTCTAATTTTTACTAGAAAGAGACAAAGGAAATAAATTGCTGTTAGCCAGCAGCCTACCCCTTTTGTGTATTAAATGATAATTCATACACATTCAACACTGGTGAGAACATTATTCATATAATGGCTAGTTTTACAAGCTTCTAAATTTTAAAGCAAGGTAGAAAACTTGAATAGGATTCAGGGGAGAACCAGACATCTGCATTGTTAGAATATTAATACATAAATCCCAAGAGAGGAGACTAAAGAAGCTAAAATTACTTAATCTGGGAAAAAAATTTTCAAATATGTGATATTTTCTCTAAGAACAGAATAAGGAAAAAAAAAAGCAATAGCTAAAAAAAATAAGGATTTTGAAGTAGATATCCTCCTGGGGCACCTGGGTGGCTCAATTGTGTCTGACTCTTGGTTCTGGCTCAGATCACAGTCTCACAGTTTGTGAGATGGAGCCCCACATCTGGCTCTGTGCTGACAGTGCAGAGCCTGCTTGGGATTCTCTCTCCCTCTCTTTCTGCTTCCTCCCCCCCCACCTTGTGTGCTCTCTCTCCCTCTCAGAATAAATAAATAAACTTTAAAAATTGTTTAAAAAAATCTTCCTTACAATTAGTTCAACTAGACAGTTAAAATGTTATCCTTTTTTAGAGATATTTTAAAGTAGGATGGAATCATGTTCATACATTCATTCATTCAACAAGTATTTATTGAAAAACAACTAATATACAAGATAGACAAGATCCTTGGTCTCTTAGATCTCACATTATAGTAGGGGAAATAGACAGTAACTAAACTAATATGCTAAGAATTTCAGATCTTGGGGCGCCTGGGTGGCTCAGTCCGTTGTGTCTGACTTTGGCTCAGGTCATGATCTCACAGTTTGTGGGTTCGAGCCCCGTGTCTGGCCCTGTGCTGACGGCTAGCTTAGAGCCTGGAGCCTGTTTCAGATTCTGTGTCTCCCTCTCTCTCTGACCCTCCCCTGCTCATCTCTCTCTCAGAAATAAATTTAAAAAAACATTAAAAAAAAAAGAATTTCAGATCTTAGGAAGTATTGTGAAGAGAACAAAACAAAGCAATGGAAAGAAAGTGGCCACACCGGGAGTTTGTACTACAGACTGGGTGAATTAGGGCTGTCTCTTCTGAGGTGGCAACACTGGCACTGGGACTTGATGAGAGGGAAACAACCATGCAAAATCTAGGATAAAAGCATGTAGGCAGGGTGAATGGCAAATGCAAAGGCCCTGAGGTGGGCTTGAACCCAGGAGACTCCTGGGAGGCAGAAGGCCGGCATGTGCTGAGAACAGGTAAGGAGGAGGAGAGGCGGGAGGGGTGAGGTGGCTGAGGCCGACTCTGCAACCTGTCTGCTGTTCCAAGCCCAGTGGAAAGCTACGGGGTGGCTGCGGGGCAGAGAAGTAGGTTCCCTTATGAATAACACTAAACATTAAACTGAGTAAAACTACTATGTTTTATGTTCAGTGTAAATTTGTTTCCTAGCATCATGTATTAAATCTGTACTTCCTATGTGGGAAAGTATGGATATGAATAATCATTTAATATTTAGTAAGGTAGAGGAAGAAGAAAGGGGTTAGCAAATATTGGTACTTACAATCTCTCTTGCACACTCTCTACAGCTTCACATAAAATACCAAGAAAGAGTGACTCTCCTTATGTCATGAGGGGGTATGTGGATTGGAACCCTGGAATCTTGAATTCCCTGATATCTCATAGACTTTTTGGAGCAAGTCAAACGTAGTCCCTGAATAAAGACTTTCTACATGATCCAGTCTTTAAAACTCCATAATAACTTTGGTTTTTGTTTCATGAGTCTCTTCCTATCATAACGAATTTTTTCTTTAATTATGAGAAATAGATTTGTGTTTTACTCCCACCTTCACCTCTATTTACCTAAATGACATTTATTTCCAGGCCTCCTTTGGGTGCTTGAAGAGATTCAGTTAAAGGACAAAGAATGTGACCACATTCACTACCATTCTTCTGATTTATCATACTCTGAGGAAGGACAAGAAAGTCAGAGCCACTCAATAGACTCTTGATATGATCCATTATTTCTTTCTCACTATTCTTTAAGCTTTTGTCATATTTACCATTTCCCCCTAGGGCTTACAATGGTTATTTATAAATAGTAGAATTTTCAGCACATTTTGTTGAGGAAATGAGTATGTACTGACATTTGACATGAAATTCTTAGTTATAAAAAATAACAAGACCACCGAGGCGGACGCAATGACTGAGGCTGATGTGAGTCCGAAGGCCTACCCCCTTGCAGATGCCCACCTCACCAAGAAACTACTGGACCTTGTTCAGCAGTCATGTAACTACAAGCAGCTTCAGAAAGGAGCCAACGAAGCCACCAAAACACTCAACAGAGGCATCTCTGAGTTCATTGTGATGGCGGCAGACGCTGAGCCTCTGGAGATCATCCTACACCTTCCGCTGCTGTGTGAGGATAAGAACGTGCCCTACGTGTTTGTGCGCTCCAAGCAGGCCCTGGGCCGGGCCTGCGGGGTCTCCAGGCCCGTCGTCGCTTGTTCTGTCACCACTAAAGAAGGCTCACAGCTGAAGCAGCAGATCCAGTCCATTCAGCAGTCCATTGAAAGGCTCTTAGTCTAAACCGGTGGCCTGCGCCCCCTCCTCCCTGAGTCCTCCCCCTGGGGGTGTGTATCATAGCGTCTGTGTTAGCATGTAGTACCTCCAGCCACCTTCTCTTGTTAATATTATAGTACTAAATCTGGGTTTTGCATTTTTGTATTATTTTACAGGTCGTTATCCATATATTAATCCCCCACCCAGCCCAATCTCCCATTCTACACTCTCTGCCACCTTATCCTCCCTTTTGAAAAGTGAACTAATGCCAAGAACAGGCGGAGACACAATGGTGACACCATTCAAAGGCAGGGAAGAGCCAGGAGAGAGCTCTGGTTCGAGTTTTCAGGCACTAACTTCCTGTTGTATGCAGGACATGATGGATGTAAACACCGTTCACTTTGTATCCCTTGTGCCTGGTGTACACAGTCATTCCATACGTGTTTGCTCTCTGTGGGGATCGTGTCATGTTTGGGGAGAAAGCATGTATCCTGTGAGGTTGTTAGGTGTGTGTCCAAGTGTCATGTGCTAATCTGCCCCTGCCGTTTGCCTTGGTAACGTGATGTTCCCCCTCTCCCCCCACTCCTAACCTAACCGTGCCCCTGAGGGTCGCAGGGCAGCAGCATACCAAAGCTGCAGAATTCCAGAAGCTACCCGGGCAAGTTAGACATGGGGCGGTTGACCCAGGTCTTGAAGGAGTCCACAGTGGCAAGAAAAAGGAGGGTCAGCTGATGCTGGAATGAAGAAGTCTGGGCGAGTCCTGGAGGCCTGACTGGAAGCTACAGCAGGGATGCTGGAGTCCAGGAAACGTCCTCACTGGTGAATGGAGGTGTCTTCAGGGGACAGTTGGTACCAGCTCTGAGAGCCCTCTTCCCCCCTGCCCCCCGTTCCCTGCCACTGCGCAGGTCAGATCTATGTATTCTTTAGCACATCGGAAGGATAGTGCTAATGTGCCATTCTTGTGAGCATCCAAATAAAGAAATATATTCATAAAAAAAATAACATAGGCTCTTATCTTCTACTAGGAGAATAATAGTAAATATTCTATTTCAATGTCAAGAGGTACTGACACTTTTTGTGGTATCTGACTTAAAGGCACTATTTATGTATATAACTTACTACCAAAAAGGACTTGAGGAAGCTTAACAATAATTCAATGAAGCAAATCAGTAAAAATGATGGGTATCTTCTGGGTACCTGGTGCAGAGGATGTGATGGGGGTGCCAGGATGGATGTGGCCCTTCTGCACCCCAGGAGCTCACTGCTTTCTGGAGGCTAGCAACTAACTATAACCATGCGTTCAGTTCTGCAGAGATAATCTCAGCAAAATGCTCTGATGTCATAAGAAAAAATGCATGCAGTGAGACCACAAAATCATTACAACTCTGATAAAAGAACAAGAGTCCTGCATTGGGTGGTGGCAGCCATTTGAAAAACCTGGGCTTGAGGCACCTAGGTGGCTCAGTTGGCTGAATGTCCGACTTCAGCTCAGGTTATGATCTCACGGTTCATGGGTTCGAGCCCCAGGTAGAGCTTTGCACTGACGGGTCAGAGCCTGCTTCAGATCCTGTTTCTACCTGCCCTTCCCCTGCTTGTGCTCTCTAGCTCTCAAAAATAAATAAAAATTTATAAATAAATACACACATAAATGAATAAATAAATAAATAAAAATACAAAAACCTGGGCTAATAAAACACTGGTATAAATGAGCTTTCCTCTGATAAGGAGAATCATAAGACTTCCTTAGGAGAATTATCTTATTTTTATGGCACTAAATTTATCAAGCTCGTATTTATATGAATGCAATGCAAACAAAACTGGTACTTATGTAGCTATCCCAATAAATATATAGAAATTTTTAAATAGTGTATTTTTCTAAAATCCATACTTGACAGTAGTTGATAATACAATCATGTATTGTATTGACCTCCATGAAGACATTGCTGCAGGAAATCAAGAAGGATAGTCAGGCTGAGAGTTTTTTTGGTTATCTATTTGATACAGAGTTTAACATAAAAGCTATAGAGCAGTAGAGAGATATTCCATATCTCAATTGGACAGACTGCTGCTATTCACTTTTGTCACCCACCAGAGACCTTCACCTCCAGGTATGACACTTACCATTGTCTTTCTGTCAACACTCCATCATCATTTTGCCAACAGCGTCAGCAATTTCTTCCTTAGAGGCTGGCTGCTCAAACTCTCCACCAGTGTAAAAGGCAGGTCATGAAAAGCAGAAATTAGATTTCTTGCAAGTAAGATTTTAACAGCCCTAGACTGATAACGAGTGTCAAGGTTAAAAAGACTTAGGGACTAATCCAAGGAAAAAGATACGCCTACACAGCACAATTGGGCAGTACTTGGACAAGGTTGGCTGAGAGGGGAAAGTGCCTCACAGCAAGAGGCTGTCCAGAGGCTCAAAGAGAGGGCCACTATCTAGGAGATGGGAGGGAAGGGAACCCCTGGAGGTGGGCATGGGGGGGGGATCAGAGAAAGGACTTCTTGCTTTGAGGTGATATCACTCAGCAACACCATGTGGAGTCCCTGGGTCAGTAGGGCTACAGCATGTGGGGTCTTATCATCATGGGGCTATATCTTAATGGCCAGCAGATGCCTGGTCAAGTTTTGCAGTGATATAAAGTAGGAAGGTGTTAAATGACTCAAAATCTGCTTTTCTGGTGCCAGTTTTAAAATAATTGAATGTGTAAAGTTTTGTGTTTTGTGGTTTGTGAACTTTTGAAATAACAGGTCTCAGCCTGCAGTGAAGATATAAACAATCTAGGAATCAATACGCAGAGTCCATCTTTGGCTCATTTATATAGCAATGAATTTTTTTTTTCTCAGAGTTTGGTTCTTTGTAAAAAACAAAAAATTTCAGTGCTGAAGAAGTAGCATAAACAGAAGTTTATGAAAGTTATGGAAAATACTTTAGTTATTATCTAAGGTTAAGAATTCAAAATGGGATAAAGGAAGATATATCCTGCAGAGCTTTTTAATAACTAATACAGATCTCATGATGCACAAGTTGGATGAACTACAGCTTGATGCATTTTATGAGTCACTTAAACTCAATTAATTAAATTGTTTGAAGAGTTAAGAGACCCGCCAGATCTAGTTGTGACCATGAAAATACAAGAAAGTGTTGCTTGTCTTCTGATTTAACCTCCCTTCAAGATTCTTTACTTTCCCCCACACCAGAGAGTCATTGGATAACCTAAGTGACTTGTAACTTGATCCTGTCCGGTCTGGTTAAGTGGCAGTAATAACTGAACTCTCCTTTGCTGTTTTAAAACAATTTTCATGTATGTTTTTATATTTATGTTCAAACAGTATACGGTGTGTATATTATTTAGCAGCTAGTCAAAATAGTTCATACAAATTTTACAAAACTTCAGGGAATAATTTTCCATGAAATTTTTGGAGTAAGCATTTAGTGAGCATTGAATGGTTTCATTATGATACTAAGCGCTTACCAAGTACACATTCATATGTAAGCAAATCTAGGTCATTTCTTTTCAATGGTCTTAGTTTATATATATATACACACATATTTATATAAACTAATTTATGTATATACACACATATATATACAAATATATATTTATACTCACATATATTTGACAGGAAGTAGGATTTATTGGTAGGCATGGAAAGCCTGTTAATAATTTAACAAGCATGAACCTCATGCTGAGGTTCTCATGGGTGCAGAGATTGCCATGTGTCCAAGGGGCCACGATCAGGATGTATTTGACCCCACAGCCATCTGGGATGAGCCACTTTTCAGCCATCATGTCTTCAAATTCATCTGCATTAACCTTAGTAAAGCCCCACTTCTTGGAAATGTGAATTTGCTAGTGGTTAGGGAACTTGAACTTGGCCCTGCGTAGGGCCTCAATCACATCCTCCTTGTTCTGCAACTTGGTACAGATTGACATGATGCTTGGCCATGATGGACATTATGTTTGGCCAATGTGGACCCTGGCCATTGTGCCCTGGGGCTTTCCTAAGGCACCCGGCATACCTGTCTGGACCCTAGACTGGAGACAGCATGAGGTCTAATATCAATGTTCACTGGAAAGGGCTGTCCCCAGGGTCCCTTAGGGCAACCCAGACAATCAACAGGCTGCATACACTACCAAGGAGGCGGCTGTTTGCACACTGGGTCCCCATGGGGAAAGAGCACAGTCCACTTATTTGGCTGCAGATTGTATATTCTTTAATAGCTCATTTTTAGCTCTTGACTTAATATTAAACACACTACTGCTACACTTTAAAAATTCTTTTTCTGAGTTCTAACCTTATTTTTTTAATGTTATGATGAATTATTTATCCTTTATAACTATTGAAAATTGTGATGTGTCAGGGAATATCATAATATTATTTCATTCAGGAAATGCAAATTATTCCTTTTAATGTATTAAAGCATTCAAATGCAAAATATAGTAATAATTTAACAAAGAAAGTATGTCATTTTTTTAAAGTCACTGAAAGCCTTGTGCGGTGTGTTCTAGCTCTTCATTGAAGGCAGGTATAGCCCAGTTGGGAAGAAAAGATATCTGTATTAGAAACCATCTAAAACAAATTCACTGAAATACACGTCCAAGATTTTATATACAAAGCTTTCAGATATTCAAAATAAATGAAAACTCAAGGCATATTCTATTCTAAAACAAAAACCTGATAAAGCTTTATTACAATCAGCCAAAATGGACTTTAAGGCAAAAAATCATTTGAGATGAGAATTATATCATATTCTATCATAATGCTAGAAGATTTGATTTGTAAGGAAAACACAGCTGCTTTAAAATCAAATGCATCTGGGGCGCCTGGGTGACTCAGTCGGTAGAGTGTCCGGTTTCAGCTCAGGTCATGATCTCACGGTTTGTGGGTTTGAGCCCCGCGTCAGGCCCTGTGCTGACAGCTAGCTCAGAGCCTGGAGCCTGTTTCAGATTCTGTGTCTCCCTCTCTCTCTGACCCTTCCCTGCTCATGCTGTCTCTCTCTCTCAAAAATAAATAAAAACATAAAAAAAATTTTAATAAAATAAAATAAAATCAAAGGCATCTAGCAACATAATCTCAAACTTTATACTGCAAACTGACAAAATTATAAGGAAAATTGGCAAAGTTCATATTTATAATAGGAAATTTAATGTAACTTCCAGTAAGTGATTGAACGAAACTAGAAAAAAGAATAAAGAAGATTTGAACACGATTGATAAAGTTGACTCAGTGGATGCCACACCTAAAAACTGCAGAATATATATATTATTCTTAAGTACA